GTAATGGTGACTAAAGGGTGTTTTTTCATGTCCTCTATGCTCTAACTATGAAAATATTTGATTTACAAATAAGGAATCCTACTTCGCGGAATTTCTTTTATCACGGTAGGGTCTAGAACCGATTAACCGCGATAAACGAGGGTTCACTGTTCTTCCGTTTTATGTTCCCCCGAGCAGCACATAGTTTAGTTCATAGAACTTAAAAAGCAGTTGCTGGGTGAGCTGACAGAATAGGAGATAACGGTACGGTACGTGGTCAGAACGGTACATGCAGAAACACACAAACACGCTTACAAATAATTTTATAAACAGATACACTTATACAGTCTCTAAAAGAATATAATAAATTCTGTGCTTACCTTGAACTGGGCTTGATGGTTTACGATTTGAGGAGGCGTCTGCTTGTTCCTGTTCTACTAGAATATATTCTAGAAAAAAAAGAAAACGGGGAAAATTTTGGATTCTTATGAAATTCATGCGCTCACGAAGGCATCCATCAACATTAACACTCTACTTCTAGAGTTCACCTAGAACACTTTCTGAATGCTCAGTCCCATTGCTTCTTTATGCTAACTTTCCTGTTCCTTTAAATTCTCCGTCTAGTCCCAGCCCCCACCATCTTAACGGGAGTACCGAGTTTGTCTTTCACAGACCTTCAAGGTCAGAACTTCTATTATTGCCTTCTGGCCCATGTATTAAAGGGCCAGGCAAAAGAGAATTTGACCTTTTCAGCTCCAAACTCAAGGGGCCACAATTTACATGCACCTCCCCTCTCCCCTATGCTGTATTGGACCCCCCCCCCCAAACTTACAAACCATGTTCAGATGTATTTACCTAAAGTAGACTGTATTTGAGGTTTTCTTGGTGGAATTAGTGTTGGTAGAGTCAAAGAACCAGGAAAATTACTAAAACTTACTACTACAGGCACACCGCGCGGTAAACGTTCAGCTATTGGAGTTACTAGTTTAGGAGAAGTAAAACTAGGTAAAGGGCTTAGCACTGCTGTACTTAAAACTAACTGGGGCATAACAGAAGGAGACTCCAGTCTCCTTGGTGGAAGATCAGGACAAGCATCTTCAAATGTACAAGTGATAAGTGGGCAAGGGGCACTGTAGGTTTTGGAGGTAGCTGAATTAAGAATGAACACATCTTTAAACTTCTCATCAATCAAAGGCCCTTCTAATTTTGGGAATTGTGTCTTCGGCTTCCTTAAATGTTCTGTTTGACTTATTTCTTTCCCAAAAACTCGACTTGAAGCTGAATGAGAAGTTGGAAAAAACAGAGACCCGTAAGCAGTCTCTGGGATCTGGAAGCAAACATCCTGAAGATGGTGTTTTGATGCTGCAATCGACTTTACGACGGCCACTTTTTCTTGTACATGGTGATCCAACAGGAGTGTCTGCACACTGACAGAAGTTTGGGACTGATTTTTTGAAGTCGCACTGGAAAGAGCTGAAGTGGCTTTAGGTTGAGAAACCTCTGCCTCTGGTTGCTTAATTTGAACAGTCTTGGCTAAACCGGACAAAGCAAAAAAGCACAATTAGGTTTTATTCATCAAAGTGTCATGGACAAGACTGTAATATTCATAGCGTTACTTTCCCTCTCTCTGTTTGCTTCCCCCACCACCACCCCCTAACCCCACCACCAGTCCTCTCATTTTCTAGAGAGGTCTCTGTTCATACTTGTTCAGCTTACCAAGACTTTTCATGAACTAGTTGGGAAGGAGTTATTCTTAAAAAAAAAAAAAGATCGAGAAAGGTGTAGTAGTACAGAGGTGAGCAGATGCTATTGAAACTGGGGAGATGGATGGACTACAAAGTGTTTTCACAAATGAGTATAAGGAAGAAGAAAATGTTCTAAAATCGATTGTGATGATTGGACCACTCTTCTTGATATGATCGAATTGTATGATATGTGGATGAAGTACCAATAAAACTTCTTAAAAAGTGTTTTCATGGAAATGCCTGTGGCTCAGCAATGCTTCTACTTGTTATATATCTTGGAGAATTACAAACTGTGACACAGAGATATGCATGCTAATGTTCATCACAGGACTAGTCACAAAAGCAAAAAGATGGAAACAACTTCAGCGCCCATCAGCGGAAGAATGGATCATACACACATACACACAGTGATTGCTATGGCATGTTTAAGAATAATGAGGGCATGCTGAACAACACTGATAGAGAACCCAAGGCGGGGTGGGGGTGGGGGGGGCATGCCCAATCCTATGTTCCTAATTCGACTCTTTTGACCTAGTTTCTGTCCAGCTCTTGGGCCATGTACTAGAGATGACTAGGACTTTAGACTCCGTCTGTCCTTCAAGGTCACAGCATCCTTCATAGCCCACACCAGAAGGATTTGATGGAGAAACCCTACTAAGTGAATTGGGCTTTACTTCAAATGCAACTATAGCAAATTTAAGAAACTAACAGAGTCCCTTGGACCTAAGGATGAAGCACCCTCGTATGAGAAGCAGCTGATGATTACTATGCCCAAGTTATGGAATTGGTGGTCATTGGATTTGGGTTGAAATGTCTTTCTTTGAGGGCGCCCAGTGAATGGTGGGTGGTCTATTCTCCTTCTTTACTTCTGGCATGTATTAGTTTGATAGGCCTGGTCCTGTCTTTATAAATCAGTGTTATTGAACGTTTTGCCCAATCGCCAACACGCATTGTGTAAATACTGTCCAGCCCTTTGAGAGTTTAATCTGTACAAGTCATCAATTCATATATCATGATCTGAAAAGCAGTCCTCTCGGTGTATATCTCATTTTCTCAATAATGTTTTAAATGTCCTATTATTGGCTAAATTAATGACAAAGGGAGAGTTGGTTTTTGCTCGCCACCATCCCCTAAAGTGCTCAGTTACGCTTGCAGAATTGAATTGGATGTTACCTTCTTATTAAAAACAATTGCAAGTTAATGGTTATACGTGAGTATTTTTAACGTAAGCAATTCTGAACTGTACGGGCAACATACAAACACACGTACCTGACTAGTACACATACCTGTATGGACTCTCTTTTTGTGTGACGGCAGCTTTGGGAGTTTAGGGGGTAAGGGTCTTCGAAGAAGTGTTGGGCGCTTTGACATTTTAATTAATAGTGAGCACTGTTTTTCATAACTAGTGAGAATTTAAAAGTGAAAAAACTTTTAAATATGTATTTCTGCAAAATAATTCATTAGAATCTCGATAACATCTTAACTAAAATATGAGTTAATACTTCACAGAATTCTTTATAAAAGAGAGCAAAAGTATAATTTTTAGAAACTTTAAAAATTGAGATAAAATTTAGGTTTATAATTAGTATCGAATTTTATTATATGTATGCCAGTAAGATAATCAGTCTAAAATATTCCTAAATTGCTAAAATAGTCAATATGCCAATGATATTGTAAGCAGTAAACACTTTATTCAGAACGGAAGAAATTACTTTTTCTTCGATCTCTGAAGTGTTTAAATTTGGAAAAGTGCACAGCTAAAAAGATAGACAAGGGATCTCCATAACTTAACCCTTGGAACATCCATCATTCACCAAAAAACGTTTTCATTCTCTAATAACGGCTCAAAAGTTCACGCATCAATATACGTCTCTGAACATTTCGCCCCAAACATGATTAGGCCATTTCTTTGCATTTCTCTCCCAATGAGAACTTTGCACGGGGGCGGTGCGCGGGGCACATGGCACCAGGTGCACGCTCGCTGGCTCGCTGGCGGAGAAAGGGAGCGTCCCCCAGCGGTACAGACGGGCGTTTGCCCACAAGCGACGGCCTTTCCCTCACGTCCCCGCTAGAGGCCGCAGTTCCGCGCGTCTCCTCTAACAGATGGGTGTGCACCTTGGGACCGCTCCTCTACCTCGGGCCTATCAGCTGCCGCTCAAGCCAACCGGCTGGTCGGGTTCCTTCTCTGCTTCCTGGATGGGACTCGCAAGGTCTCGGGGTGTTCCCAGAGATGCCCTTCGGCCACCCGGACCCCCAGGCTGGGTCTGGCTAGAGGCCCAGAAGGCCGGCGCAAGCAACCAGAGGGCGTCAAACCAAGTGTGGGTGCCCACACCGCCTCTGCCCGCCCGCCCGCCCGGAGCGCTACCTGCTGGGCACTGGGGAGGGCGGGAGAGGAGGCGCGGTTGGCCGGTGGGCGGGCGTGGCCAGGGGCGTGGCCGGGGAAATGAGGCGTGGTCAGGGGCGGGGCCGGGAGAAGGAGACGGGGCGGGGGCGGGGCCAGGATAATAGGCGTGCCCGGGGGCGGGGTCTGGCCGGGATAAGGAGGCGTGACCAGGGGCGGGGCCGAGAGAAGGAGGTGGGGCGGGGCGGGGCAGGCAAGGTGGGGCTAGAAACGCTTCAGGCACACACCCCGGGAGCCCCGCGGAGCCAGCCCTGCCCAGCGCCCACTCTGCAGCCTTTGCAGCTGTGTAGGTCTGCAGGGGAGGCTGCGGGCGGTGGGGTCCGAAGAAGCCAGCTCTACGTGCACCTGCTGTACGGACCCCCGTGGTGACAATCATTATTACTATTCTTATTCTTAATGACAATGACCACTCTTATTTGTTTACTCTTTTCGATTACACGCTGCTTAACTTCGTATCTGGGGTCTGGGCTCTGGAATTCCACTGCTACGCGTCAGGGTCCCCGTTGCATTTTGCAGTTACACCCCCACCCCCGAAAAGCGCACATTGTTTCCTTCCTTTCCAGCTGTTTTTGTCGCTGTGGTCCTTTAAAGTTTCTAGTTTAAGAGGACCTGTATGGAAATATAGGTTTAGGACGGGCCCGAGCAGCTTTAGAAACCCCACTCTCACTATGAAAGATTGCGTTCTGTCTCCGCTGTCATGCTGTTGATGAACCTGTGTGGGAAGTGTCCATGTGCACAGTGATCATTTGTGCATGTGCATATGCTGTGTTTTTCTGGAAATTTAAGGGCGATAGAGGGAGGGGAAAGTGTAGTAGGTGGACTGTACATTTCCACTCAGAGAGTATGATAAATGGACGTTCCTTTCTTTTTCTCCTGGTCTATGTATAAGTAGTGGGGCAAGACATTTAATAATAGGTGCTGGAAAATGAGAGACTTCTGCACAAATATATCCTAGTGTTTTGACCTTTCGAGATTTATTTACTAGATAAGTCTTCCCTTTTCTGGTTAGGAGTAAGTGTATGTATTCAGGAAATCAATGAAAAAAGTAGAAAAGAACAGAGGCCCTATTTCTATTTTGTCAGACTTTCAGAAATGGTATGCAACTTGTTTTCCTTTATGGTATTAAATATATGGTCATTGTGTCCTAATTAGAGAAGGACCCCAAATCATAAATTGATCTCATGGCTTTTGCCTATTTCATGGATTGATTAGCTTCTCAGAGAGACAAAAAAGCTGACAACAAAGGGTTATCCAATTACTGGATTCTTCTGTCAAATAATATAGGTTGTATCTCATGTCGAAACAGTATTGGGAAGTTTGTTGTGAACTCAATGTTTGTCATTTTTCATGAACTATATCCATATTTTGTAAGTGTGAAAAATGTATCTTAAGCATAAAAATATCTGTGTAAAATGTAAATTGTGTCAGGTTCCGATGCTCTTCTTAAGAGACTTTGGCATTAGTGGGGGGTTCTGTTTAACCGACCAATGCCTGGCCTTGAACATTTCTCCTTAGTATTGCAAAGTCCAAACCCAGGCAATGCAATTATTTTAAAATGCTTTGTCCCGCATCAGATTTCATGCACTGAATTCTTTACCAGACTAAACTGAGCCAAACTTGCTGCCATGCAGTCAATGCTGACTCACAGCGACCCCCTGTGGGTTTCCAAGACTGTCACTGTCTACCACAGTAGAAAGACTAGTCTCTCTCCGCGGAGCTGCTAGTGGGTTTGAACTGCCGGCCACTTGGATCGCAGCCCAATGTTTAACCACTACACCACCAGCCAAATATTTTGTTTTCCTCAGCTTACTATTTTACTTACATTTAGGTAAATTCTCGTGAAAGAAAATATAAGGCAAGGTGTGATTATATATCTCCATAACCAAGCTTGTTGCCATCAAGTCAGTTCTAACTCATAGCAATCCTATAGAGGGTTTCTGAGACTGAATCTTTACAGAGACAAACAGCCTCATCTTTCTCCTGCAGAGAGACTGGTGAGTTTGAACCACTGACCTAGCAGTTAGCAGTCCAATGCCTAAACCAAAGCACCACCAGAACCATATATATATACATATACCCATATATATATACTTTGGATATTTATGTATATCCAAACTCAAACTTACTGCCATCGAATCAATGCTGACTCATGAGCAACCTCCTGTGGGTTTCTGAGACGGTAACTGTTTATGGGAGTAGAAAGCCCAGTCTTTCCACCACCCCCACCCCCAGCTGCTGGTGGTTTCCAACTGCAGACCATGAGGATTGCAGCCAACGTGTAACCACGACACCACCAGGGCTCTTATATACATATATAGACATAAATATATGTATACAACTATAACACATCACATATGCTTCATCTATAGAAACAATATACAAATGTAGGATGGATTTAGAAAGGACCAATCAAATTAGATTTGAATTATTTCATTACATATTATATTTTGAAAGTTAATATTAACACTTCAATTTTCCTTCTAGTTGAAATGTGTCTTGTTGCTATGGTAGTGCTATGTTTGACTCTAAGGCCCCTTTAATTTGCTGCATACTTATTTGTCCTATTGGCTTTGCCGTTTGGCACAAGAACATGAAGCTTGTCAAAGGGAACCACGGTCCCTTTTGCTGTATTAGCAGATTGTATTAAAGAGGGCAGGATCGTGGTAAATGCCAAGGTTATAGTCCCTGCTCTCTTCATTTCCTTCCTTCCTCCTTCCCTCCCTCCCTCCCTCCCTCCCTCCCTTCTTTCTTTCTTTCTGTCGAATGTCGCTAAGGTAAGACAAAAAAACTTATACAAAATCAACACTAGGCACACTGAAGGAATGCTGTTAATCTCCTGACTGAGGGTGGGGATGTCCGAGAGATGCTTGGGGAACCTCAGATTTGCTGTTGGTGAAAAGACACAGCTCAGTTGAATGACAGAAACTCTTCCTAGAAATCTTCACTGTTTGTGTATAGACGCCTCCTTCTCGTATTTAGATACATAGGAGATTCATATTAAAATCCAAAATAGATTTTAAAATATATTAAAGTAAAGATCCCTGGTGGCACAATGGTTATGCGTACTCAGCTGCTAACCACTATTTAACCCTCAGCTGCTCTGTGGGGAAGAGATGTGGCCTTGGAAACCCTATGGCCAGATGTACCTGGTCCTATAGGGTCACTATGAGGTAGAATCAACTCAACTGCAGCGTTGAGTTTATAAAACTAAACAAAACTATTTCTATTTCCTTTTAAATAGGTCACAGCTTCTCTGAACAGTTGGGCCAATGTCACATAATTAAAAGACCATTTCCATTTGTTTTTAAAAGTGTGTTCATGAATTCAATCATTCATTCTAGGATGATTTCTTGAATATGGCACTTTGCTGCGTGCCAAATTTTAAACTTTTCTACATGGGACAAAAGACCTGAACGCTAATCCTATAAAGACTCAGAACCAAGAAACAGGCTACACACCCGCAACGAAACCAGACATTGCTTTTGACTCAATTCTGACTCACGGCGACGCTAACGCACTGAGTGGAATTGCCTCCTGGGTTTCCTGGCAGCCGTCTTTAGGGGAGCAGACCTCCACGTTGCTTTGCTTTCCCCCAAGGAGCACCGAGGGGCTCAAATGGCCAGCCTTTCGATCACTCACGTCACTACCAGGGTGACCATTGTAGCCTAGACAACCTCATGGGTCCACTCGGACATGCGCGGAAGAAAGGAATGGTGGTCTGAAAACGTAGCCACTGAGAACCCTGTGGAGTTCAATTCTGTTCTGGCACCCACGGGCTCGCCATGAGTTGAAATGCAGTCCATAGCAATGAGTATTGGGAACCCATAAGGTACTGTGAGCAGGTAATGAGGTTCTCTATCTAAAGAGCCAACCCCTGTGCCTGAAATAAAGTGAGTGCTCCGTGGGTGTTATTAAAGAACTAAACTAAGAAGATAAATGACTCGGCTTTGCCATCTCCTTGGTCCCTGTT